CAATACCCGATGTACTACTACGGCTACTACGGCGATCAGGGGGCACAGGAACCGTTTCCCACCCGCCATACAGTACCACAAGCAATTGATTACCATCTCCAGAATGAACATTATAAGGCCCAAAGTGAATTTAAATAGAATGGAAGTTTGACGTTAGATTTCAAAAGTCCAACTTATCATTATTATTAAAAAGGGGTGTGCGATAGACTTACCTCCACGTGGTGCATCCTGGGCAACGTATACTCATACGACAAAAAAGTCTATTAATCGGCATTTGACTTCTGACCTCAAACTACCACGGCCCCCCTGGTTGTCATATTCGACCCCTTCCACAGTACTCACCTTACCTTTTCTCTACCTTTGTGTCTGTCTGCCTCTTTTACACCTGTGAATCGCTCTTCTCTTCCCCACCCTTCAACTTTCAGCTACTTTGATGAACCTTCCCTCTGTGAAGCCCGAAGTCAGCTAAATGGCTAATGATATCTATCAAAACGCCCGCCATTTGAAATAAATAAATTATTATCAAAAATCCATTAATTGTAATACAAGTACTAAATAATCCGCAGACAGAGCATAGCACTGCCTAACAGGTTAGGTTTCAAGAATCGAAATCTCACTACTGACTATCATGAAGAAATAATGTTCAAAAGGAAGTTTCAGAAAAAAAGTTATACCTGAGTTAAATAACCTACTTATACAAACAAACCTTCAAAGTATTAGTATTGCATAACATCCCATGTCAAATTAAAGGAGGTCATATTTGTAAATTAATTTTCACCAACCACACTGCACCAATGTTGTATGTTTAAAATTTCTGAGCTAAAGAATTACAATGTGCGCTTACAAGTCCATGTATTGGCAACAAAGTGGGTGACGCAATACCGGGTGTGCACTCATAAACTCATACGACAGCACAAATTCAAAACGGCGTCCCAGTTTGTTCGACTAACAAAATCTGAGAGCGTTAAATAAAGATCGAAATATAGAAGAAAAAAATTATAAACTCACTTCGAAAACCCACCCAATCTAAAATAGAATACAATGCACAGTCCTGTTCCCAGAATGATCAAATTTCGCATTTACTAACCTAATATTATTTCAAAATAGCAAACCTTATGAGTCCACTTCGACCTTTAGTTCCTTTATTTGATGACCTTGTAGAAATTACAAGTGGGGAAAAAGTATCGCGCTTAACCATTAGGTTAGGGGTCACGACATCCATCGATTTTAACAAGGCTTAAAATTGAGACCCCAATTTAGCATATTAGAAAGCTGAATCTTTACTACATAGCTTAAAGCCAGAGGTGTTTGCACATAAATAACTAAGAAATCGTAAAAGCATGGGCATGCTATAACCAGGAACCACAACAAATAAAAAGATAAGTTGTCCTCCGAACAGTTTACAATCTGACAACCGTTTGAACAGCCAATAATGACGAAACTCAAGGCAAAACATTGAAACCGCACTGCACATTGGAACAAAAAATCCAGTCAAGTAACAAACAAACCGACATCCTCTAAGCCATTCAATAAATAGCCGGATATGCACACCAGAGCAAGATTCAAAGTCGTCATTTTCAGAACTCCGAACAATAGTATACTGTTCATAAGATACAGAGTAATAATGAGGTTAGAAGGAAAATACGTTAGGTATAGTAAAGACACCAGAAGATAAACGTGGTCGGAAAACAATAGATGGATTCACTCGTCGAAGAAGGAAAATCAAAGCCAAGACGTAGATACAATTTGGACAAAGTTCTGTGTCCCCTAGCCATCACCACTTATAGACAGACAGTGAGATTGAAACGATAGAGAAAGTGAATAGTGTTTTATATATATTCAAGCAATACCACACAGGTGCAAAACGAGTAAAATGAAAGTTTGCCGGAGACACAATGAGAGAAAAGATGAGAAATAGGGAAGAAAAGTAGTTTATCGACTCTTATCTTGCAAAATCTTCGACATCCAGTCAAGTCCCTCATAGAGGCCGGAGCCAGAAGTTGCACAAGTTGCTTGAATGTACCAATCACGATTCTTGAGCTTATTCAAATCGAGTCTTCGGGTAATTTCACTAGCAGGGCAAGCATTAGGAAGATCCTACAATGTAGGAAGAATTTAATTAAACTAAATTAGCATTACCTGTTTGTTTGCAAAAACGAGAAGGACGGCGTCACGTAGTTCATCCTCACCAAGCATTCTATAAAGCTCCTCCTTAGCCTCTGATATTCGTTCGACGTCGTTGCTATCCACAACAAAAATTAATCCTTGAGTATTTTGGAAGTAATGACGCCAAAGAGGACGAATTTTATCTTGGCCTCCAACGTCCCAAACAGTGAAATTTACATTCTTATATTCGACAGTCTCCACGTTAAAGCCAATAGTTGGAATGGTTGTAACGATTTCACCGAGTTTAAGCTTATATAAGATGGTGGTTTTCCCAGCAGCGTCGAGACCGACCATAAGAATTCTCATCTCCCTTTTGCCGAAGAGACGATCAAACAATTTTGTGAAAAAGCCTCCCATATTTACTGAAAAAGTAATATTCGCATCTTAAAGCATTGAAAAAGCGAAATAATTAAAGTAGTTCAGCAGCATAAATATGTCGTTATGAATGCACTAGTTTCAAATAGTACTAAGTAGATAAAGAGTGTCAGAAACTAATTACGATGGTGCTGGAAAATGTAGATAAGAAATGGTTAGTCCTACTAAAGAGAGCATGACAATAAAACTTTAGAAACAATAGATTAACAAACTAAATTAATGAAAATAAAATCTACACAAACATAAATGCTTACGAAAAGCTCCAAGTCAGCAGCAAGAGGAAACAATAGATAACGTCAGCGACGTTAAACAGAAGCGCTTGGCAAAGATTGCTCGTTTAAACAATCTTCATATTTGTTTCAGCCATTTTTTAGTTATTTAATTTAACCCTAGTATAAAATTTAATACAAGATAAGAAGCTATATGTTTTTTTTCCTGTTTACTTAGACTACAAGCAGCATATTTTCCACATGTTCTTGAGAAAATTATTTCGTTTATAATATTCTCACTTGGTAAACAGTAGACCTAACAGTTCAAAGTATACAGAAAGATATGATTTCGATTTATTCAAAAATATTTTCAAAAAATAGTACATTTGACATTTGAATGCATTATTTCTCGCATATTATTGTATAAATACAGTAAATCTGACTTGATATGCGATAATCTCATTTATTTCAAAAATTCTACTGTATAATCTTTTTTTCACACTCTCTAAAGAGTTAGAATATTGCTTGGGCAAAAGCATGTTTTGCTTTCTATTGTATGAAACAAAACTGAACAATTCATTAGATGATAGAATAGATTTCAAACGTAACAAATGAGCTTGAAATCGCCATATGTTGGAATATTTTATTTGCTTCAATTTTGTATGAGTAATTAAATGTCTATAGATTTTTCTAAATATCCATGTACCAATTGTATATCCAACTGTCCATCATGTGGTATTTCTCACCATCAAGACGCATTTGATTCATGTTTGTGTTTAAATTTATTACATAGTCATCTTTAATTTTCATAACTCTAGAAGCAAAATCGACTTCATAATGGTAGTGAAAATATCAGTTTCCAATGCAGAAAAAACTTTTGAGCCTTTTTAGTGGATAGTGCAAATAAAATCAAGGAGCATACCATCATAAGTTATAGCACATTAGAAAATCGGATTTTTCAAGTCGGAAACAAGAAAAAAACAAAGTTATGTCAATGCGAAAATAATTGGGCTATCCAATTTCTCAACTTGCATCTAACTCGGGAACTGTCATTGTTTTCCCATTTCAATGAATATTATCATGAAAAGTATTCGAATTGTCTTTAAAAGCCATTGTTGTAGCATATTTCTACCAAAAGGAAAAACGAATATATTATCTATAGTAGATTGTTAGTTAAATAATATAGCCCAATACATTCCAATTTCGGATGGGGAATTAAATGTTTTTATAATTTGGCGGCATGATGTGTAATTTTGAAAAATGTAATATAATGTGAATAATGTGCAAAATTTTTATGAAGTAATTTAAATAATCTAATACTTAAAGAATGTATCATAAGGAGTTCCAATGAATAAACAATTTGCTTTCAATATAGGCCTAATGATAAGTCGCGATTTAAATAGTCATTCTATTTATAACAAGACAACAGTGATTTGATAATTCTTTCGCATCAAAAGCCCTTTTGACGTAGCTTTAAGGTGAAAAATAACCATATCTAATTTGCTCACAGCTACTATTTTTGATTTTCGAGCAGGTCTTTACTCAATCCCAAAATGTGGGTTTGCATGGTACATAATTTGAGAACAAGCTAACCAGTGAAATGAGCTAATCAATAACGGCTATGAGATATAGAATTTTAAAATAAAAACCGATACAAAGAAGCGCAAAATCAATATAATTGATTAAAGGTTTTTAAACCTCTTTCCAACATAGATATTGAATTAAATAACCAGTCAATTGAATTTAACTCTTTTCATGCATACGTCGGAATTCTAGATTGCTTAATTACCCATTTTCTTAAAGTAACCTCTTGTCATATTCTTTTCATAAAATCGTCCATCTTCACCTTTATAGCCATACGATTCAAACAATCCAACTTTCATGCCGGGTGGGAGCAATTTTAATATTTTGTTTTTTTTCTATAACGGTCCAGTTTCTTTTAAAAATATATCACCACACTTAGCTCACGCGTATCCTTTTCAAACTGATCCGTAAACTGCCTTTGTATTTTCACTTACATACGCACATGGAGATTCACACATGTCAATTGTCTATTTTCACATTTTCCTCATATCTCCTCTCACTCTTTGATTTCTCGAACTCATTTGAAGTTTCATCGTGATTTACTCAATACACAGTGCTCTACACAACTCTTAGTTTACCAATTTTGGAATAACTACTTGGTGTTGTCGGCTGTTAACTTTGTCAATCTGCTTCTTGTTCATTGGTTCCTACAATCCAGTGACCATAAATTAATGACCTCGATTTTCAGCACTCAAACTCAAACGTTTCCTCAGACATCTTTATCAAAATAAAGTAATAAAGGGGTAGATGATCATTAACTGTCCTAGTCGACATCACTCAACACTTCTCTTATGCCCTTTCCTTGGTTTTTAGATAGACTTTTGCCTGGGTATTTTGATTATGAACATTTGCTGATGAATCTAAAACAGCTTAATGACTTTAGGAAATGAATATTTGCTATTGCTGATTTTAAGTCACGTCAGTAGCCGATGGAAAAATAGTAATCAGAACGTGAATCTATGTAGGTGTGCAGTGGGGTACTGGGACCCTGGAACCTTCGAGATGTACAGCTTCTATCACAGGCTACTGGTGATGCAAGTAGCTATTGTGCTAAGATGATTGCTTCCACGCATTTTAGTATTATTTAATTTTCTTGGTATGGGGTGTGCGATAGACTTACCTCCACGTGGTGCACCCTGGGCAACGTATACTCATACGGCAAAAAAAGTCTCTTTTCTCTGCCTTTGTGTCTGTCTCTTTTATATCTTTAAAACACTCTTCTGTTCCTCACCCCTCGACTTTCTGTTACTTTGATGTTCCTTCCCCTTGTGAAGCCCCAAGTCAGTTGAAGGGTTAGTGATAACTATCAAAAAGCCTGCCATTTGAAATAAGTAGATTTTGTTGTTTTTTATCTTTGTTCTATCGATATGATGCTCTCCAATAAATTCTGATTTACACAACCCTTTTAGACTGCCATTTGGTGATTCTGAAATAAGATTCATCCCTTGCAAGATAAGGTCTAATTGTGTGGTAGAAGCAATCACTTATTCGAGTTGAGTGTTTTCAGAAAATATTAACTCAATGAAATTGAATTATTGTTGAAGCTCCACGGAGTCTATGAGTTTTCAGAATTAAGTGTATAGCTCCAAGTATTCATATTATTTGGATGTTATGAGGACTCAAATGGTTTGTGCTATTCAGTTTACCAACTAGTTAATAGGTAATTAATGAGATGCTCCGTTTGTTCATTCAATTAAATCAATGAAATCAATGGCCGATTAGAGTAGGAATCGGACAGATTTATATGGTTTGCACACCAATCTCCGTCACAATGGAATGGTTCTTTCAGATGGAATTTTAATGAATTGTGGTATCTTATAATTAAATAGGGACGCATCTTATTTGCTTACCTCTTTATGACCAAAAGTATCTCCAAATTAGCCCTAAGATCAATGAGCCATGGGTTCCATGAAAATTAATTCGATTTGGAAATAATGGGTAAATTATAAAAAAATGGAAAGCTAGAAATTTATTTATTTCAAATGGCAGGTGTTTTGATAGTTGTCATTAGCCCTTTAGCTGACTTCGAACTTCACAGAGGGGAGGAACATCAAGGTGAGAAAAATTCGAGTGGGGGAACAGAAGAGCGATTCACGGATGTAAAGAGACAGAGGAACACAAACTCAGAGAAAAGGTAAGGGGAGTACTGTGGAAGTGGTGGAATATGACATACAGTGGGGGTGATGGTAGTTTGAAGTCAGAAGTCAACTGCCGAATAATAGACTTTTTTGCCGTATGAGCATACGTTGCCCAGGGTGCACAACGTGAAGGTGAGTCTATCGCACACCCCGAAAGCTGGAAATTGGGAGCATGAAGCAGTGGCCTGTGCCAATAAATGAAAGAGATGCTCAAATTTAAGGTCCTGCTTACACTCTGTTGTATGGACTTAGATGATTTCTCGAGGATGAAAATCGTACTGGGTAATCAATAAGTATTTTAGTTGACCTAACCACTAGAAGGATAGTAGTTTTGAAATCAAGCATATCATCCAGATTCTACATATAACGAGACCGCTAATATTCCTGATTAAAATCAAAGTGAACAACTTGATGGGACCGGAGCTTAGGGAAAGGTGGGCTGTCCTAACTATCGATCTCTCTCCTTCCTGTCCCAAAATTCGAATTTTTGCTAATTCTAACTGTTTAGATGATGCCTGTGAAAAGAATTCGTTTTGCTTTGTCATGAGAAACGTGAATAGGGATGCTATCTATTAAATCGGTGTTCCTGATGTGAATCTCGCCTC